GCTTATAACCAGCTGGCTTTCTTTTATTCTCTGCTTTTACTTGCAATTCGGTATTCATAACAATTCTGATTACCACAAATTATAGTCGATGCCGGTTAAACAACTTGCTAGAAATAAAGTTCTTTAAACGTGTGATCAAACTCCTGATAAATTAATCCGTTATAAATTAAGCACATCAAGCTTTTCAAATCGATATAGAGTTATGCTATGTTCGTGTGATCTTACGGACCTATGGGTCCGCTAAATCATGTGAACTTTAAGGCACAACATTTAAATAGAACTGGAATCTTTAATTGTTGATGATTGTGAACAACGTTAAAATTTCGAGTAGAAACAGGTTCTTCCAATAATGAAAATATCGCACTTAGTTAAATCAAAAAAGATAAATTTACTACGCATTTTATGTGTCTAAAATGTAATTGCACAAGACACTAATTTATGCACTCTCTAGTGACGCAAGTAATAATATTAATTACATTAGTTGAGTTAAATTTAAATTTGCAATTTGGCATTATCTTCAAGATCTCTATTTTTATACCTATTTTTATACGTAAGTACAATACAGATGTCAGTTATGGATACCCATTTATAATGAATTTACACGTTTACGCGCCCCATTTATATTTCTTCTCGTTAATTTCCTCATCTCAATGATCAAGTATGTAATTATTGATTTAGATGGTCTTTTGGTCAATACTGAAGAAAAATATATGTTGCATATTCAGAATATATTTGATCGCTATGGTTTGCGTTATACCTGGGATATACATGCGAATCAAATTGGGTTTTCCCCTGAAAAGTCCAATGCTTTTTTTAATGCTTTTTTAGCAGATTTGTTAAATAAAAGATTTGTATTGAATTTGATTTCTGATGAGTTTAGAGATATGAGAAGTGTTAAAAAAATAAATTTTTCTGATACTGAGCTTATGGATGGTGCTAGAGAAGCAATTCATTTTCTTCACAAAGCAAATTTCAAACTTATTTTAGCAACTAATTCTACCTATGGGGAGCTAGAACAAAAGATTTATAATAATATCGATGTTACTATAAACAAGTTATTTAACGAAAATTTTTTAGATATTATTTATAAATCTGATGATACGAGTGAAGTTAATAAATATAAACGCGTTTTAGAGAAGCATTTTTTGAGCACAAATGAGTGTCTGGTTATCGAAGATTCTTATTTTGGTTTGATCTTAGCTAAAGAAGTTGGGCTAAAGGTAATTGTTTTTTTATTCTCTTTAATAATATAAGTACTGAAAAAAAATTATTTTAGGTTGTATGGGTTCAGGACTCGAGAATGAAGTCATATTTTGATATGAATTATTCTTCTTTATATAAAGATCCAGATATTTATATAGTTTCT